GTTTGCCCCCGTGCGCTGGGCCGCCTTTTTTGTCCCTTTTGACCCCAAACGGACGGGGCCGGATAGGATAGGGTCGCGCGGTGGAGTTGTCCTAAGTACATATGGTTCATCGCTATCATACTAAGCATACCGGACAATCTATAAGCACGAACATACATCTACAACAAATAACATGCTACAAATGGACCACCAATAGCTACAAATCACATATCTAAGCACGAATCAACACAAGCACAAGGTTCAACTTCAAACTCTACTACTAATCTAGCCTACCACATGCTTGAACATCTAGCCCTACCACAAATTGCAATCAACCATACCAGCTCACAGATCAGACCACTAATCAACCTTGCATCTAAATCAAACCCTATCTACAGCTCAGATCTAGCTAGAAGGAACAGAAAGAAAGGGGGATTGAACTCACAGAGGCCATGGCTGCAGCTTGAGGACGAGGGGGGGACAGTCGTAGAAGATCAACGCCGGCCGGTGAAGGAGCGCCGACGCCGTGGACCGCTGACCGATGAAGATGCGCTGCTTACCTGCTCGTCGGTGCCGATGCGTGTCGGCGGGAAAGCTCGAACGGAGGAAGAATGGTGGCGGGAGTTGGGTGGTGAGGGAGGGGGCTAAATGGGGGTCAACTCGGCGGGAGGTGAGCCGAAATCCTCCCGCTGGTTTTTTGGCGACGCGGGCGAGCTCGCGCCATCTCCCGGGTCGCACGAGGAGAGAAATGCGCCGCCCTCCTCTGCCTCGCCCGAGTCAAGCTCGCGAGCAACTGCCGATTCAGACGTTTTTCCTGGGCCTGGCCTGGACGTGCTTTAAGTTCCGTGCGATGCGGGTCGCACAATAAACGCAGGCAACCAATCGGGTCAAATTCTTCCTACGCGGGCCAGACCAGGCCACATGCATGCACCGTAAAATAATACCTGGACACACCGGAGCTGTGCCACGGAACCCGCCTGCGGCTATAGCGTAGTGGAGGTCACGAGTTCACCACCCACCAACCTTACCAAGAGTGAAGCAGAGGTAGTGGCGGAGCCAGAATTTTTGTGAAGCCTGGGCGAGTTTAAGCCTAAGAGCAACTCCAATGAGTCGACCCAAACGGATGGCGTTTTTGTTGCTTTTTGTTCGTTTGAGTCGGCCGCTTGCCCGCCGTCCGCCCTCTTTTAGTTTTGGGTCGGAAGTGCACCCAACGGACCGACCCATTTCATGACCGCACACGTTTAAGATCATGACGTCGCCCTGGTTTTGACGCTCCAGTGCGCAGGAAAGGTTTGCGCGCGCGGGGAAAGCGGCCGCTGGTTTTGGCGCTCCACCGCGCGGGAAAGGTTCGCGCGCGCGCCACAGCCGGTGCTTGGTATAAAGAAGGCGCTCCCTCTACACTCTGTCCGCCGCCTACTCTCGCCGCCTCTGCGCCACCATGTCGATCCGCCGCCTGGGCACTTCGGATTTTCGCGGAGTTCGCGAGCGCCGCTCCGGCGCCTTCTCCTCCGAGACCCGGTTTCGCGAGAAACGTCTCATGCTCGGCAGCTTCGACACCGCAGAGGAGGCGGCCCGCACGCACGACGCGGCAGCGTGGCGCCTCCTAAGGCCTCGTCGGGATATGAATTTTCCCAACGTGTCGAGCCAGCGGGCGCAGGATCTGACGCCTCTCCCACGGCTTTTCACCAACGAGGATCGTCGTGTCCACCAGAGGCGGCAGCGTCGCCTCGCCATCGCAGAGAAGGACGTGGAAGCCTTGGTGGTGTGGCGAGGAGGCTTCCGGCAGGACATCGTCGACGAGCGCCAGTTCTACAAGTAATTGAGGTTGGAGAGGGACGCGAGGAGGAGGGAGCGAGCCGCCTATCGAGAGGACAAGCGTTCGCGGAAGCAGGCAGCTCAATTAAAACTGAAGCTACAACAAACGTCGGGTTGGGACTTTGAAGACGAGCAGCTTGCTGACGCCTACATTCAGACGTCGGAGGAGGACATTACCGAGTCGGAGTCAGAAAGCGACGAGTAGTTGTCTTTTTCTTTTATCTGTATACATTAGAACTATCTATGTATCCATTTTAATCTGAAAATATGGCTGGCGGCGTCGGCGACGTAGCAGGCGGGCGAGGGTGTGAATCCAATGTGTCACCGACCAGCGGGCCCGGTGAGGAAAGAGGGCGAGTGCGCGTGCGTCCGTCTTGTGTCCGCGCCGACACAAATCAGGCTCAAAAATGGACCGGGAATGGGTCGGCAGGCGGATGAAAGCGGACGCGCGTCCGTTTGGGTCGGCGCGTTGAGCCGGCTTTTTTGTCCGCGCCGACCCAAACGAACGGCCGCGGACGAAATGGGTCGCCCCATTGAAGTTGCTCTAAGTGTCTAATAAAAAACCAGAAACGAGTGTTCAGATACATAATATATGAAATAGTATCAAACTTTCAAATCACAAATCCACATTAATAATGTAGTGAAAATATAACCATATTAATCACGCAAATGTAATTTGACAGTGAAATAATATATAATATACCAAAATTTAGTTTCATAAACCAAAATATACTTGATACTTGATACCTGAAGTGATAGAACCGGGGCCACATAGAACCAAACTCATCATATTACTCACAAAAATATAGTTGTCCAAATTATCATCCAAACATCCTAGCAGAGACAAGATGACCAAAAAAATGGATTTTAATATTCACATAAATCAAGTGTTGTGATTTGCGAATATATTCAAGAAAAACGAGGCAATACAAGATGGTGGTTGTGGCTCTACTTCTATTTGTGGTTGCACACCATGCACACTTTCTGCCAAAACCTCCTCATCTCTCAAATTTAATGATTTAAAATTTGGATTTAATATTTATATGTAGAACAAATCCCTAAACAAGAACTAAACTCATAAATTGGTAATCATCCCTGATGACCAATTTTCCTTGCCGTGACCTCAAAATTTAAGCCCTAATAAGTCTATGAATCTCACCTAATTCTGATGAAGGGGACAAGTAGGCCATGATGCAAAGCATTCCTCAGAGTCTCGGATGGATTAGCTCCAGCTCCGCCCGCTGCCGGCCGCGCGCCTAGGCTGCCGGTCTGTCTCCGTCTCCGATGAACCGAGGATGCGGCCGTCTCGAGCGAACAGAAATTAACCGAACGGAGCGGGGAGGTGGAGGCGTGGAGTGATGGACCGATCGTTTCCTTCTCATCTCTAGTAAAAAAATAAGATCAAACGAGTAAGCTTATCTCACGTAGGTACGTAGCCCATTAGCTTGTACGTACGTTTTTTTTGCTTAATAATTAATTAATAGTATTTGACCAGAGAGGATCGAAACGGAAGCCCATTGGCCCAGCTACCTACTGTCTGGGTAAACCACCATACGAGGAGTAATTTGCCTCATTATGACAGTGCCATCGTAGTATGTCGCGTATCTTGTGAGCCCGGGCAAGTGCCCAGGCTAGCCGGGCGCTGGCTCCGCCCATGAGCAGAGGTCACCAGCGTGCAGTGGCAGTGCATAGCCATCTTCAGTGCAACCCGACCACAACATTGCCTCGTTCCTGAACAGAAAGCACCCGGCCTTTTCCTGCTAGCGGTAGCTCCTGAATGCCGTGATGCTACATATGAACACCCGTCGCCGCCGCCGCCGCCGTGTCGTCGCGGCCACCTGAGTCCGAAACCTTCGTTTTTATCGTTATACAGCGACGTCCACATGCTCATCCATCCATCCGCCCGTCCCCCCAGCCCATGGACGGCGACGCCCCATCAATGCGGCCAGAGGAGGCAGACCCATCCGACCTCCTCCGAGCCCCCAACTGATTTTTGGAGCACACTAATGGCCGGGCGGCCCCGAATCGCGGCCCCGCCCTGTCCTTCTCCCTCCCAGCCTGTTACGTGGCGCAGCCGGCCGCATTCATGCCGCGGCATGGCATTCAAGGTAGATTCACGCACACACACATGGTCATGGATCGTGGGTCGCGTCCATCGCCGGTTCCAGGTTTCGATTTTCCAAGCTGCTTCGCCCGCCGCAGCGATGGATGGCGCGCGATGGTACCGCACGTGCTACAGTTACGGTGCGGCTGCCTGCCGCATTCATATCGGCATTCATTCGTGGCGAGCAGCAGCCTGTCCCAGCCAGCAACGGCGAGCCTGTAGCGGTGGTGGTGGTACTGCGCCGGAGATCGGGCCGGGTCAGGATGGGCGACGTACTGGACGGACCCGAGCACCGCCCCGATGGTTTTGGTACGTAGTACAACTGTTGGATTTGACCGGCCTTAAACCTAGCCGAGCAAACGGTATCTCGCCCGTAACGGCAACAGCGGCTGGCTCTGTCCATGACTGCACCTCCGTGCACACCGGCAGATCCGGCACGGAATTGGGCGCTTCGACGGGTCATCGTCGGCCATCAGTACTGTGTGTTCATCCCGTAACAGTATGACTGTATGAGATCACTATGTAATGTGTTTTCAGTCTCGGACGGCACGGCACGCCGCGGTACGACGCGTCTAATCTATCGTCCCATATCTGCACAGTGCACAGACATCAGACATGTACGTTTGAATTCACTTCAAATTAACAGCCTGGCTGGGTGTCTGTGGTTTTGCATTAGTTAGCCCATCTAATAATCAATCAATATGGCAAAGGATGTGCCTAGGTCTCAGTCAACTGAAACTTAACCAAGTCTTAGTAAAGTGACATGACATATAGAAAAAAAACGAAAAGCTAAAAAAAAAGCACGAACCTTCAGATAAGATCCGACGAATACAACATCGACTGAGACTTTAGCAACCCTATATGACAAATTCCACAATAAAAATAGCACTGCCCGTGGTAGCAAATCACCGGAACGGGCATGCACGCAGCTCGACCGACCGGTCCATTTCGGCGCACCGCCGCAGCACCCACAACGGGCGGCGGCCCTATTTCCCGCTATATATACTCGCGCGCACACATCGGTCATACGTACTCGACGCTGCCTCCAGTCCATAGTCACACACCACCACCACCTTCCCCCCAAGCGAGCAAACACTTAATCATGGCGACTCTGCGGCGGTGCTCCGGGCTGCTGCTCGCGGTGGTGGCGGTGGCGCTGGCGGCGGGGATGGCGGCGGCGCAGGGGCCGGCCGGCGCGCCGGCGCCGGCGGCCGGGTTCAGCTCGGAGTGCATGACCGCGGTGCTCAACATGTCCGACTGCCTGCCGTACGTGGAGAGCGGGAGCAAGACGCGGCACCCGGACACGGCCTGCTGCCCGGAGCTGGACGGCCTGCTGCAGTCCAACCCCGTCTGCCTCTGCCAGCTGCTCGCCGGCGGCGCCGACTCCTACGGCATCAGCGTCGACTACAAGCGCGCCATGGCGCTGCCCGGCGTCTGCCGCCTCACCGCGCCGCCCCTCAGCGCCTGCGCAGGTAATGTATCCTTCGCTTCTTTTCTGCCGGCGCCTTCCTCCATACTGTCTCGTACTACTTCCTCTGTACCGAAATACTTGTATTTCGGAGAACTGCTCCCAACTACAGAGGTAGTACCACACATTTCGTGCTTATACTGTACATCGACGAAGAGCAAAAGTATTTACAAGGCTCACTGATCTGTCTACGCAGAAAAGAGATTTCATCTTCAAGCGGGTGATAATAGAATATGGAAAATCGTCAATTATTTACCCATGCCAATCTGTAGTTCTGTACTCAACCAGGAGTAGCCTAGTGAAAGAGTACTAGGGTCTAGTAATAACCTTGTCAGCGTATTATTTGTCCAACCTAATGGCACTACTTACTCTTTTCCGGTTTATAGGGCTTATCTTAAAATTTTAATTTTCTCATTTTATAAGTCTCAATTTGGTTATTCTCCATCACATGTTTAGATTGCAAGATGCAATAAATCATTGCATGCAAGTATTAAGAGAAAATTGATCAATGCATGTACTTTATGCATGCATGCATTACAATTAATGCATTGGTAAACACAATTTTTAAGAAAACAAGCGCATTAATTGAGTGGTTTTGCAAACTACAAAAATTATTTCATCACTAACCATCTACCTTGATTGGTGAGATTTGCGAATTAAGCCATATAAACCGGAAAGGAGCTAGTATGATTTAGCAATCGAATTTCATCGAATTATCCTCGCAGAAAAGAACACATTGAATTCTGGATGTACTACAGTATCAGTCTTACTTATTAACAGAGACATGAAAATGCAGCTTTTGGAGTCCCCGTGGGGCCTTCTTCGGCGCCATTAACAGGAGTCTCTCCATCCGCTACAGGGCCACAGATGCCTGGTAAGTCAGCCATTACTACTCTGCTTCGCCTTGGTTCTTCAGTCCTTTTTACTTTAGCAACTACTCTTTCCGTTTGGAATTATTTGTCGCAGAAATGGATGTATCTAGATGTATTTTAGTTCTAGATACATCCATAACTGAGACAAATAATTTCGAATGGAGGGAGTATTACTATTACTAGTGCTCCTTTTTACCTCAAAGAATTGCTCTTACCATGCGTTCTGTTTATAATCTTGTGCCTCCTGCAGAGAACCCGCCATCCGCAACGCCGTCCAAGTCCAAGTCCCACGCCCCGGGCCGCCTCACCGGCCGCGGCCTAGTCGCCCTCGCCGCGCTGCCGCTGGCGATCACGGCCGCCGCCATGTTTTAGGGCAGCAAGAGTTCGCGGACGTGTGGCGTTGTGCCGGTCTCACACGCTTGGCCCGACGAGATCACATTCTTCTCCATTCTTGCCTCACATTCTCTACTGGTGTACACGAGAGATTATTTTTCTGGTTGATCCATTCCTTGTCGCAATTACTTTACCTGTGTGTAATCTGCTAGAGACGGTTGACAGTCTGTGTATTACGTAGCTTTGCATTGCTGCTACCACATTTGATTCTTTATATATATCATCGCCAATTTTCGTACTACGCCGTGGTCTACCTGGGTCCTGAATGGGATCACGTGAAGTGCTGGCTGATTTGAGCATTGATGATACGGGAGGGGACTTGGGGGAATGGTGTTGTGCGGTGTGGGGGAAGAAGCATTGGGATCGCCGTCGGTGGACGGTGGGCAAAGCCATCATGACACCGGCACCGATGGATCTACTATCAGCGCTGTTTGATTCATCAATGCTAAGATTCGTCCCCATTCAATTCCTCAACGGTTGCCCTGCCATCTACTATTACCAACCACTTCACTAAATACTCAAAAACTAGATGGAGGGAGGGGCATGAAATATAATTTGGATCGGACAGCTAATTTGGGACACACACATTTAGAGCATCTCTACCGATCCCTAAAACCGGTTAAAGAAGTAAAAAAAAGAAAATCGATTTTAAGGGTTTATTAAACCGAATCTAGCCTATCCCTGCTAGCTATTTATTTGTCTAAGCACACCGTAGTACTAGTACTGTAATCGCCTGGCCGCAACATACCGCCGCCGGTGTGCTGCATTGCAGGTGTCAACGAAATGCATGAGCCAAATGTAAGCTATAGAGAGTTACGTTTACTAAATCATTAATAACATGCGTTGTCGTGTCCGTCCATTTTAAATTTTGTGTGACCGTGTTAGAAATGTAAAACACACAGTTCCTAAACAAAATGGAAGTTTTATAATTTTCATTGGGCTGGTTGATCGCGTGTGTCACCATGTCCATTCATTTATCTGACAGAATAATAGAAATTTATGCAACTACTACGGAGAGTAATTAACAATATGTAGTATCATCAAATAGCTTCATACCACACGTGGTTTCTTTGCATCAGACAACAATGTTGCCAAATGGCGGAATAATCTTCATGAGTGGACTGACTAATGAAATAGAACCCACAGACATACAATTTCTTGGATATGCCCGTTGCGAGGTTTGTGACAAAAACATAGTTTTGCATGAAGGTAAAACTAATGAATCAAATACATTTGAGTAGAGTTTTGTATAAGTGGGAATGTAAGCATCATGCCAAATTAATCTTCCTCCAAGTGCACATAAATTTGGTTGTACAATGAGATTCCAGAGTCATTACAGTACCGATAACTCAAAAGATCATCTTACTTTCACAATGCTTGTACTGTATAATACTTGTACACGTATTTCCTGTTGCTCCACCTGCCCGTAGCATCGACTGGCATTAATGCCCAATTAACCTCTCAATCAATCACTCTTAGCGATTGAACTTAACATCCGACGTGCGCCGTACAACCGAACGAACCGAGGTCGCATTGTCCATCGCCTCCGTGCAACCTAACGGACAGAGGAGGCGTTGTCCGTCTCGTCGCGTCACTGGAAACACAACGCGGTCGCCATGGCAGTCCAAGCCCCCCCATCGGTCGAGGCGCCGCCACGCGAGGCTGCCAAGGAACGAAAGCAAGGTCATGACTCGCGAGCGTTCAGTGTTCTAGGTTTTCCAGTTTTCTATCACGCAGGAGCCTGGTACAGGCTCCGTAGGCCCAATTCAATCAGAGATGCCAACAAAAAAACACGAGAGCAGCGGCCCAATAAGGCTAGCATTTGTTCGGCTGGGAACGAACGTGGACGTCCGATCGACGCGCGGTTAAGAGACAATCATATGGCCAGGAAAGTAGATCAAACTAAGATCGAATGGATACAAATGCTAATGACCTGAGAGGGTAGGAAAATACTCATTTTTAATGTACTCCGTATTTAAATGTGTTCGGCTAGGAACCCATTTTTTAGCAGAGCAAATATAAGAAGTTAAGCCATATAATGGGCCGTTTGAGGGGCTAAATTATAATGCTTTGTCTAGAGATGCTCTAAGCCATGTAAGTTAGCCCTTCATATGCCTCCTCAAACTTTAACTACTTAAATTTGAGGAGTTAAAAAACGTGATTCCTAATTGAACTCTTAATTTTAACTCCCTAAAACCATTTTCACACAAATCAAACATAGATAGCACAACTTGATTCAAACTACATTGCATAACACAAGTTTAAACATAAATAACACAATGCGATTCAAACTATGTTGAATAACATGGATTTAAAATAGGTGATTCAAATGAAATGAAAAACAAAAATACCTAATATTCTTCCTTGAATCAAACATAAGCAGGCGCATTCTTGTACAACTCGAGGACCCGCTCGACGACGAGCTCCAGATGATTCCGTCAGAGCTCGGCCATGCATGCCTCGTTGGCGTGCCGCGTCAATTGGCTCAAAGGCCTCTGATTCTCCTGCACCTCATGATAGGAGACTACTTGGCGGGTCGATGGCGACAAATCGCCGCTACTGAAGGGGGGTTTATCTTCGCCCGACTGCCGTGGAGGCGGATAGCTTGCATGTCGTAGGCCCTCGATGCCTGCTCCGCCGACAGTAAGGAGCCGATCCAATACCGGTGGCGTGTCACGCCTCGAAACATGGGTCGAATGTAACAACCACCACACGTTTATAAGCTTTGGTTTATAAACACATGGCGGCGGTTACGTCCTGTTGGGGAACGCAGTATTTCAAAAAATTTACCTACGATCACGCAAGATCTATCTAGGAGATGCATAGCAACGAGCGGGGAGACTATGTCTACATACCCTCGTAGACCGAAAGCGGAAGCATTTGGTAACGCGGTTGATGTAATCGAACGTCTTCGTGGTCCAACCGATCCAAGTATCGAACGTACGGCACCTCCGCGATCAGCACATGTTCAGCTCGATGACGTCCCTCGAACTCTTGATCCAGTTGAGGCCGAGGGAGAGTTCCATCAGCACGACGGCTTGGCGACGATGATGATGAAGTTACCGGCGCAGGGCTTCGTCTAAGCACTACGACAATATTGAAAGTGCTAGTGATCGACTAGAGGGGGGGGGTGAATAGGCGATTTTTATGAAAGTCTTCAAAACATGGAAGTTTCGAAGATAAACGATAGTAATAAACCTATTACCATGCAGCGAAAGATAGACTACACTAGGCAAACCATAGTCAAGTATTCAATGGAGTGAAAGCACAATGACTAATAGCAGCTAGGCAGTAAAGATCAGGTAGGAAGATATTATGAAGCCAATCAGAACAAGCAGTCACTCAGTGAAGACAAAGGATAAAGCAATCATACAATGACTTCACAAGGACCAACAGTAAGTAAAGGGAAGGGAAGGATGAAACCGGTGACTCACTGAAGACAATGATTTGTTGGACCAGTTCTAGTTGCTGTGACAACTATACGTCTGGTTAGGGAGGCTGAGATTCAACTCAGAAGACCTCGTCTTCACCTTATTCCCCTTGAGCTAAGGACACCCAGTCCTCGCCCAATCACTCTGGTAAGTCTTCAAGGTAGACTTCCAAACCTTCACAGACTTCGTTCACCGGCGATCCACAATGACTCTTGGATGCTCAGAACGTGACGCCTAACCGGCTAGAGGATTCACAGTCCTCAAGTGTAATAAGTCTTCAGATCACACAGACAGGAAGACTTAAGTGATGCCTAACACTCTTTGGCTCTGGGTGTTTAGGGCTTTATCCTCGCAAGGAATTCTCTCTCAAAGGCTTCGAGGTGGGTTGCTCTCAAACGACAAAAGTCGTGCACTAACTCTGAGCAGCCAACCGTTTATGGTTGTAGGGGGTGGGCTATTTATAGTCACTAGGCAACCCGACCTGATTTGTCCGAAATGACCCTTGATTACTAAGGAACTGACACGTGTTCCAACGGTCAGATTTCAAACACACATGACAACTTTACTTGGGCTACAAGCAAAGCTGACTTATCCAACTCTGGACAAGATTTTGCTCTCATAGTCTTCACTCGAAGACATAGGATTTGGTTAAGCATCACTTCAATCATTCTGACTGGTTCACTTGGACCCCACTTAACAGTGTGGTGGTTCCTATGACTCAACAAAGAAAAACACAGAACGACAAAACTGTTAAGTCTTCGCGCTCCATAGTCTTCACGCGATGTCTTCTCTTGTCATAGTCTTCAATGTGAATGTCTTCACATACCACCTTTGACTTCAATGTCTTCATACATTTTTAGGGGTCATCTCTGGTAGGAAAACCAAATCAATGAGGGACTTCTACCTATGTTATCCTGCAATTCTCACAAACACATTAGTCCCTCAACTAGGTTTGTCGTCAATACTCCAAAACCAACTAGGGGTGGCACTAGATGCACTTACAATCTCCCCCTTTTTGGTGATTGATGACAAACTAGTTGAAGTTTTCAACGGGGAATAAAATATGTGAAATTGTAAAGGATAGGGTATTGTCTTCATAAGTGGCAAAGGCTTCCCCTGAAGATGTGCATATAAGTAATTTTCTTTTGGTATGCAAATGGACATGGCAGGTTGTACTTGTGGAGATCCTCTTCAACTTATGATGACAAGTCATTATGCAAGATATGATGTAACGAAGATAATGACATGCATAATGAAAAATGGACGTATGCAGAATGATCTAAGTGCCGAATTTATCGTCGCACATGCGGAATTTATCATCACATCACAGAATAGCAAATAAGTAGTAGACGACCATCGAGTTTAAGTGTTACAACTCAAAGAAACAAATGTATCAAAAACGAGAGTTGTAAGCACTTGGCAAAAGTAGCAAAAAGTAAATTAACCACCCATATGGACCCGCTTGAAGACTATCAACTCATATTCTTCTCCCCCTTTTGCCAGTGAGGACAAAAAAGGTTTGAAGACATAGAGCGCCTACTCGTTCCC